TCTGATGTTTGACCTTTTTCATTTTCTTGTTGTCTTCTTCTTTTTCAGGTTTCTTATCATCCATCACAGTTTCGCCTGCCAATTCGTTTAAGATGGAATGGGACCCGCTATCATCCGCTTCAAATACTTCTGGTTCTTCTTCTTCTTCTTTTTCTTCTTCTTCCTCTTCTAATAATGGTGGCTCGTGTTCTGGACTAACCTCGACAACATGCAATCTCAACATCCCATATGAGTCGGTTTTTTCTACGTCAAGATCTTTATTAAGAAGGATGCTGTCAGCAATGGATTCCGCAAGCCTGAGCTCGCTAGTACACGTTACAGTCACCAAATCCCCATCGTTATCCTTGAACTTTATCAAAACCGACTTTGAAGATGGAAACCGTTTGCTTACAACTTCTCTCAACACCTTAAACATGCAGTTTACCGGCATTTGCGCAAGCCGGATATCGTTATCGTACACAAGCTTCAAAGGCCTCCACTTAATCGAAACATCTGATGTGGGCAGAACCGAAGAACCCTTATGTTCCTTTTTATTACCCTTTTCTGGATTACTAATGGATTTGTTAGAACCACCACCTTCACGCTTTAAAATAACCTTCGGCATTTCAACGGGTTTGACCTCGTTAACGTTCTCCGTGGACTGAACCGGATAGGTCTTATCGGGCTTACTATTGGCAACACCAACAGGCCCCGAAGAACCAGGTTTCTTAGGAACCGGGCGAGCAGGCAAACACGGTCCGAGGCCACCAATAGGGGCCCCACGGACCGCAGAAGCCCCGAGAGCCGCAGGTGAAGGGCGGCTATGGAGGTCCTGTTGGGCCTCTTGCCGGGCCCCATTGACCGGGGCCCGCAACCTTCTAGCAATCTCCAAAGCATCCCTATGATTCGGTTCAACACCTAATAGTCTTTGCACATCCAACAGAGCCATATCGTACTTCCCGACCGCCTCAAAGGCCCGAGCCCTACGAAGTAAGGCTCGAACGTACATAGGCTGAACCTGTAGCGCCATTGAGCACTCGGATATAACTTTATCATGATCTATGGGCTTTATTTGCATCAAACAAGCCGCCCTATTGCTATGGAACACGGCTCGGTCCGGATGGGTTTTCGGGGTGAGTTTAAGGGCCTTTTCGTACTGTTCGAGGGCACCGACAAAGTCTCGGGATTGAAACCGTTTGTTCCCTTCTTCTTTAAGCTCATGAGCTCTCTTTAAGAAAAGGGATGAGTCCAGCTCAATACCACCACCACCATTGGCCACCATTGATGAAGGTTGGGTGTTAACAGTAGACACATGGTTCTGAGTTTGACTTTGACTTTGACTAGGGTTTTGACTATGATTTTGGTTTTGGTTACCACCACCACCACCACCACCCTTCTTCTTCCTACCTCCAGATTTCCCCATTAGAGTTTGATCCCAAATTAGCCCTTTAACTCGATAAAATCCTTAATCTAACTATTGAACTGTCTAATCTATACAGTGATTGATGAGATTATATTCATGAAATTCGAAAGCTTTCTGAAGAAATTGAAGAAATGTAAAGATATGAGCTGCTTAACTTACCGTCTTATTATGAAGCTGGATGCGATTGGGAGAAGATTTGTTGGTGATTCAGATGATGGATTCCGATTCTTTGGAAGAGATGATGAGATTGGATTTGGAAGAAAGTGAAAATGGGGGAATTGGGGGTTTTACGAAAGTTTTATATTGGGTTTGAAACCCTAGATTGGAGCACTTTAATCGATTGGGGGTTTAAAAATCAAGTGTATAACATGAACTACTACTACTATAGAGTGGGTTTATATTTTTCAAGTGTAAAATTACCTAATTGCCCTTGGTTTTGTGAAACTCTACCAATTGTAACTACTGTTTAGAAATTACGTCGATTGTTTTTTTTGATTAATCATTGTTGCTTTTCATCATCGTTGAGGGCTATTTTCGTCATTCTGCAATTGTTTTTAAGATAAATAAGCAAACACTCCAACGATTGTAACTTCTCAAAACGTCCTTTTTAGCTTATTCCCAACGTGATAAAGAGTTTTGTAGACGCACTCCCAAACACTTGATTTCTCCTTTTCTGCTTCTCCCCAACGTAATAAGTTGATAAGTACTTTCTCAACGCACTCCCAAATAGACTCTATAAATTGTTTTGTGTTTGTTTTTTAGTGGAAGGTAGCAAGGCTCCGTTTGTTACAAGCTTAATAAGCCTAATGGAACTCGTAACTTATCTGGTCAGCTATATATGACTATTTGGTAGTAACGTAATAATATAGAAAGTAGCTCATTCAGTAATCTTTTAGGATGAGGCTTTATACAGAAAACCATGTTTTTTCAAACTTGTCCTGTCAATTGAAAAACACACTTTGTCCATCTATGAAAAAATCTTCTTAAGCAAAAAAATTCCTCGTTTTATACAGACAAATTAATTCATACACACAACTTTATTCGTACAGGATTTAATGGAAAACCAACCAAAATGTCCCTATGTCTTATATAATAGGAGAGGAAATTATGATACTGTTGTTTGGTTTATACTAGTATAACGAATTTGTTATAAAAATGTTGTCATATGTAACATGTGAAAAAGAAACTAAAAAAAAAGATATCTATATAGTAAATGTCGTTATGAAAATGATGTGTAACATAAAGAAGTTCTATGATTCCATCAGAAATATATTAAAAACAAAAAAATCTTGAAAATCGTTGAGATGGGGTTGTAAACGATGGAATTTTGGGCTTTGATTTTGGGCCAAAATGGAGAGTTCTTTTTGCTTTTACAAAGGCCCGTTTGGTACTGATATTATTAGATATCACGTCTACGAAGCAGAGCGACCTCGTCTTGCTTGCTTCTGGCGAAGCTTCTAGCACTGGATAATAGGCATGGCAGGAATACGACTTTTTAGGTCGCTCCTTGTACTGCTTTTTTCTTTTTCAAAGAAAAAGGTCGATTTAGGCTCCTTCCTTCCACCGCATAGCTGCGGTAGCAGGTACTACGAGCCCTCTGTCCCACGCATTTAACCGGCTCGCGTGGTTCACCGGTTCCACCGAAAACTCGGAGGCAAGCGTTAGACCGTAGCTTGCTGCTGAAAAACGTAATAGTCCGAGGACCTTTAGTATTGTACTCTACCCCCGAACCAGCAGCCTTCGCGCCAAGCAAGACGCCCTTGTCCCTTTCCTTTCTCCATTCCGCCTCCTTCTTTGCTTTGTTCCAATAGAGTCTAAGGCAAAGCTAAAGTGGTTCGTATGCCTACTCGACTTCTACTTCAGGTTCGGGGAGCTCCGGCAGGGGAACTTGAGTCTCAGCAGAACCTTCCCTTTTTTTATCTCTCCTTTCCCGCGAATTTTATCCATTTTGCTCTGATGTTTTTACAACTATCTTTTTTGAAGCAGATAGTTCACAGTGCTCATTCTATCGATACTGGAAAAAAAATAATGTTTACACTCAATTTCCATCTCATTGGGGGCGGAAAACGAATCGACATCTCGATGTGATACAGCCTTTTCTATTTTAGTTGGGAAAGAACGACGAAGTCCATCCGAACCGTCCAATGAAGAATAAGAGAAGAGCAAAGCGCCAATGGCGCGCGAAGCGCATGCGGAACGGGCACGGAGAAAAGGAAGTTTGGAGGAGAAGCAGCCGAGCTCATTCCCTTCGCTTCCTGGGCCCAAAGCAGTGCAGTCTTTCCTGGCCAAATCAAGGATTTGGGGCTTCTTGCTACGCTACTTCACTATAAAAATCCTTTTTTTTAGTCATATATATAAATAGAAAGATAGATCCATCCATCTATCCTATCCGATTTCTATTTTGATATCGAAAAAAGAATCTATTTCATTCATTTTCTTCTTCCAAGCCCTTCTTTCTTAGAAAGGCACTCACTGAGTTACTTACGGAATCTAAAATCTTGAGGCTGCTATTTGAAAGAGCTTTCAACATGGAGTGGAGACCCCATAACGTACACAAAGAGTAACCGATCTATGAATATCAGGAGAGCGAGACTGGCCATTAATTCGACTATTCTAGAGCCTATTCTAACTCCACTATAAAAGAAGGTCCTACTACTTGTGTGAAATCAGTCGCTTGAGAGCTTCGGGCTAGGTTATGGACGAGAGGCTAGGTACGATTTCCGAGCGATTCAAGGAGAGAGCGATGACAGTGACTTTCTCCTAGCTAAGAAAGGTAATCGATCCCCTTTCCCAACGGGAGAGGATGGAAAAGTTCGACCGATAGGGAGAGAAGGCGTTGGTGAGGCGACCGGAAGGCAGTTTAGTTTACTGTTAGAAAGCGAGAGTAGCTGTCTTTAGGGTGCTAGTTCCCTTTCTAACACGGAAAAGAAAACGACCTTCTTTGACGCATGTTCTTCCCAAGAGTGGTACTCAGAAGAAGAAAAGGTTGTTGTTCCCGCAGCACTCATTGATACTGAAAAGTGGTCGTGAAAGGAGACTGCTTTTGCTTTGAATGCTTACCCAAGCTCTATAGTCTTAATAAGAGGAGGTAGAGTGAAAGATTCGCCAGGTGTGAAATCCCATTGTATTCGAGGAGTCAAGGATTTGTTGGGAATTCCGGATCGAAGAAAAGGGAGATCAAAATATGGTGCAGAAAAACCAAAATCTCTATGAATGGAAGATGCCTCTGGAACTCTTTTTCTCCAATTTTCAGTACGAAGTTACTGGCTCTAATCTAAGAAGGCAATTGCCCGAAAGCAAGCGGTGCGCTTCTTGCTGTGGAAGAAACGCTTGCCGCGGATAGAAGCTCCCTCCTAAGAGAGTTCCTAAAGCCCGAGCGAAGCCTTCTTTTTCATTGTCTTACTTTACACGCGGAGCAGGAGCTGGTGTCTGGATCTCCAGCCCCATCTGCATAGGAGTTATTTGGGTAGAAGAACCCATCACAAATAGTTCTCTTAGTATCGGAGTCTTCTTTTGACAGCGTGTAGATGTGCTTGTCGAGGAGCATGCATAAACTGAAAGACTTGATTCACAGCAAACGTCATGTCGGGCCAGCCCCACCTCGGTAGCCCAGCGGCGGCCTCTTGTATAGTTCAACAGGTAGTTGGACGTGGGTTCAAATCCCGCTCGAGGGAAAAAACAGAGAGAGCAGCAAAGGGCCTTTCCTCGCTTCTGTCTTTTTTTTTATAGATCAGTTCAGTCTGTAAACAAGCAGGTGATTTTTAGCCGGGAAACTGTAAACTTTCGAAAGCAGAGTGAGGGAGACGCTATCGAAAGTGAGATGACGGCTATGCCTCGTTGAGTCAAGTCTTGGCTAACACTACTTTGACGACTGAACTGATACAAGTCAGTAGTCAATAGTTGAATACTAGGTAAGTCCGAAGTTCAACTGTTTGCTTTGCGTTCAGCTAGTTCCTTGCTCCAATTGACAGACATCCGCACTGACCCTAAACTGAGCTTAGCTATTTGGTTGCTTTTTCTACCTTTTATGGCCCAGGTACCAACACATTTGCAGAAGCCAGAGCTCCCTTCCGCCTGGGGAGTACGGTCGCAAGACCGAAACTCAAAGGAATTGACGGGGGCCTGCACAAGCGGCGGAGCATGTGGTTTAATTCGATACAACGCGCAAAACCTTATCAGCCCTTGACATATGAACAAGAAAACCTGTCCTTAACGGGATGGTCATTTCTATCCGCCCGCGCGCGAGATCAGATCGACTACTCTACTACCATCATGCCGAATTTCTTCAATAGGACAGAAAATGAATAGCTTATTCATAATCTTAGAGGCCCTGCACCGCTGCATTCAATTGCTCTGTCATAAAGAAAGGGAAGGAAATCTTTTTTTGATCAATCGCCTGAACCTGCCTTTCTTTCTTTGCCAGGAGGGGTGGGGCCAATCACTAATGGATCTCTCAACGAGAGCCTCATTCTGTCTAGAGGAAATTTCTTAGGTTTAGGTGGATCCCCAGAACGAACAAGATACGGGTTGAGAAGGGGGAGTTAGCAAAGTTAGACAAGAATATAATCTTTTTATTTTTCCAATTGTTCATTCCTGGGGAGAGGAAGAAGCAGATAGAGCAAAGGCCTCCTCTTTCCGTTCGCTCTTCTCATCTATAGGGCTATCACCCTAGCTTTCCCTGTCTCTGCCTTTCTTTCCTAGTCCTGAGTTTTTCTTCTTGACTATTGCTTGGGATTGGGTTTGACACTATTCAATACTAAATATCTACTCGTGGAGGGAGGGGAGGCATTCATCTTAGGCGGTAAGCGAAGGAACTATAGGGCTTAGGGCAGCGAGTGAGCCTCAGATTTTTCTTCAATAGGCTGACGGGGAGGTGAGAAGAGAGCCAATAACTATTATAGAAGGACTTAACATGGCATGAATTAGAGTGGAAGGAAGAAAGACATGAAATGCTAGAAAGATGGAATCTATCAATAGAAAGACATGAAATGCTAGAAAGATGGAATCTATCAATAGAAAGACATGAAATGCTAGAAAGATAGAAAGACATGAAATGCTAGAAAGATGGAATCTATCAATGACCTCTTTCGTCTAAGCATAAAACTAGGAAAGAACAAGGAATGGGCATAGAACTAGGCAAGACCAAGGAATGGGCATAGAACTAGGCAGAATCCACTTTAAGTGAGTGAAAACAGGAAGGAGGGGATCTTCCTTCCCCCTTGCTAATTACCAAGAACTTCGTTGCCACTAGTGGCGAAGAAGAATTTCACCATAAAAAAAAACAAAAAAAGAACTCGGAGCCTAAAGAGAAGTAAGTCTACAAGAAGCTGGCAGAGCTTTAGCCATTGGACCACATCGATCTATCCTACCTAAACAGTAAGCCTTTTCTTGTTCGTTCTTCACTTTACTCGCTAGGGGGATGGGATTCATTCACTTGCATTCCTGCTAGCACTACAAAACCCTGTAATGAGGTGAACAAGAATTGGACGTAGAAAGGGAATTTCTTTGTCTTTAGGACAGACCGGGGGTACAAAGTCACTTCTCAATTCGTATTTGGTATACGAAAGTGCGCCCTTGTTGATTCTGAACTTCGTTCGCGAGAAGGAAAAAGGACTCATCCTTTGTTGCATCTGGCGCGAGATGATAAAGAGAGAGCTTCGTCTATCGTTGCTCAATCTCTAAAGCTAATTCGGAAACTTTGGAATGGGAGTAAAGCCCGACGAACCAATCTCGATAGTAAGCATTGGGCGGGCGATAGGGAGGACGGTCTCTGGATTGATTTCTGCTGGCAAGGCATAAGAGCCGTTACCTATGGCCTGTGTGGTCTTCTGCGGAATTACCCAATGAATGTCTCCTAACGCCGCGACGGGGACCGGTAGAAGCAGACACAAATTGACTCACTACATGAACTGCATAAGCAATATCTGGACGAATAACAGTAATATATACCAGACCCTTATTACCTCCGTAGAAGTCACATTCTGGGGAGGCTCGGCTTCTACCCAGGGCAGATGGTGGAGAAGGCTGGGCCGTAGCTACTATACTAGGATAAAAGTATGACCTCTTTAAGATCTGGGATAGATCTTTCCGATGATATCCATGGCCCACCCTCGAAATGGCCAAGGCTTTATAATCGGGTATAACTCGGAAGCCGGCTTGTGCTGGATTCCTGCATACCTCTGGCAGGCATCGCAGCTCTTAGCATGTGCTATGTAATCTGCAAGGACCGTAGGCCAGTAGTGGCCATGTCTCCGGATCTCTCGAATTTCCCTCAGCGCGCTCGATCTACCTATCTTTCTGAGTTTGATTGGTTTTCGCTCCAACTGACCTTTCCATTTAATCACTGACACGTGCAATCCCATCTCCAACTGAGACCACTCGACCAATCTCATCCACTTGAAAATTCGTATAAAAGTTGCTAATTCTACTTTCTAATAGAGTCGTTAGTTCAGCAACTCTCGGAGAGAATTCCATGATTCTATTTTTTTTTGATATATAAGGGGGAATACCGCTTTTTCAAAGAGCTCTATTTCCGAACAGATTTGCCCTATACGCCAGAGGCCTCTTAGGGGATATCCCTAAGGAAAACCTTTAATCTAAGGAAAGAAAGCGGTGAAGACTATATCCTTCCACCCATCTCAGACACTTCATACTAAGGTGCTATACTATAGGATTTCAATCAGATACCAATTGCTTGGATGCGTTTGAAGCCTCGAGATGACTTGCAGAAAAAAAGCTTTCTAGGTTTGTCTTCTGTCTCCGTAACAAATGGTCCATTTATTGATGGGCGAACGACGGGGATTGAACCCGCGCGTGGTGGATTCACAATCCACTGCCTTGATCCACTTGGCTACATCCGCCCCTACCCCCGCACAGGTTTCAATCTCTATCTACGGTCAGATCCTTTCTGAACTCCCCTATGACCGCTATCAAAGAGAAGCTTTTTCCTATACTATAGTTGCAAGTCTATTGTTCTCTTTCCGAATTAGGTGAAACAAAGCTTCAAACAAAGAGGTTGGGCTGTTCACTTCATTGATTTGACTTCACTTTACTTAAGATTAAAGAGAGGGGCCGGGCGGGCAGTAAAGGCTCATTTAGTAGACAGCGAGCGAGCAGTTTCTTGGTCGGACCAAGCCAACTGGCGATTTCCGACAAGTCTTTTCTAATTTTTAGAGCAAGAAGCGGAACTACAAGAAAGCTTTCTTTATCTTTATGGATAACCAATTCATTTTCATTTTTGACCTATTGGTCATAGTATCATAGGCGACCGAACGGCCGCCCCCTAATTAGTTCGGATCGACTTCCTAGCGTACGGAATACGGAATGGATTCCAAAGCCCCTCTGTTTTAGCTTAGACTAACGGCGCTGATTCCTAGTGCTATAACAGAAACTGCCCTTAACGCGCAAATAAAAGCCCTCACAACACTCGATACCTGCTCCCGCTTATTGATTAGGGTGAGTCACTCAAGTCCCTTGTCACTCGTCCCTCTTTTACGTTTACGAAAATACCGGGCTTTATGCTTTTTTCGGAAACTAAACTAAAGTAGCTCGTCAACCTAAAAACAGGCTTGACTTATAACGAATTCCATAGAATTGGGCCGGCCGCCTGGAATCAAAAGACTTTCGAACCCATTGAAGATCCTTGTGGCTCCGGATTCCTCCAATCCAGCCGATTCCGAATCGACCAATTCCGGAATAACCATTTTCTCTATATCCCCCATCTGTGTATAAGGGCCAGCAAGCTCCGAATCCCGCAAGCAGACCCATCGAGAATCGAGGAATGACCATGCGGAAAAGAAAACGACCTTCTTTGACGCATGTTCTTCCCAAGAGTGGTACTCAGAAGAAGAAAAGGTTGTTGTTCCCGCAGCACTCATTGATACTGAAAAGTGGTCGTGAAAGGAGATTGCTTTTGCTTTGAATGCTTACCCAAGCTCTTTGACAGACTCGGCTGTGAACAAATCCTCTCTTAGAGAATCGACCGTTCACTCATGCTTTGGACGAGAGAAAGTCTGATTAGTAGGCTACCTCTTCTATCTGCTTTTCTACAAGGTTGACTTTTTTCTTCCTTCAGACCGGGCCAAGCCTTTAGGTTGTTTAAGTAGGTTTGGGCTAGCGACCCCAATCCCTCCCCAGCCCAGGTCAAAGGTCTCCCCCTAGTAAATGAAATTTACTCCATATCTGTATTTTTATTGAAGATGTTAAAGTGGTCTTTGTTAATGGAGTCAGGTTCACGTGAGACAAAGCTGTTTTCGTGAGATCGGTGAGACCAACATCTTTTTCATCAAACTTCACACCAAAACATTGTGAAGGTAAAAAAATTTTGAACATTCATAGTAAAAACACTCTAAATATTACCTTCATGGTCTTTTTTGATGTGAAAGATTGATATTTTTGTATCTTCACTGCAGTTTCGCTATGAATGTTCGAAATATTTATTTTTTACCTTCACAACATTTTTCGATGTGAAGGTTTCATTTTTTACCTTATTTTGGGTTTTTTTTACCTTGATGGTGTTTTTTAGTATGAATATTTGAATTTTGTTTACCTTCACGGTATTTTGATGTGAAGTTTCATGCGTAAAGTCTTGGTCTCACGTGGTCTTACAAAAACTGTTTGATCTCACGTGAACCTTTGTATGCATGTAATTTTTATGACATCTCCTCAATATTTC